AAAATTGCAAGCTATCGGAAGAGAAAGAGACACTAGAGATCCCAAAAGGTATGTTTGATTTATTCACATCAGAAATTTATATGCAATATGTTGGAGCTTTTACCTCTTGTTTTTAATTTATTCATCCGGAAACAAAATTGGGGTTATTTCATTTTATGATGTTGAACAAAGAGATGTTAAATTTGGGGCCTTTATTTGGTTACGAATTTGGGGTTCTTGAGGTTGTTGTCTTCAATTTGAAGACAAAGGAAAAGGAATTTAATTATGTTTGGCTTTTGATCCTGAATATTGTGTGTTTTGTTTTCTTAATCTATATTTCCTGAAGCTATTTAGTTGTTGGACTGTATGAGAATAATGAATGTAATTTTATTGCTAGTTTATTTTTGGTATATGTACTTGCTACAGTATTTATTGTTCATCATATGAAGTTTTATATCTTCTTTGTAGGTTGTAAAAAAAATATTTGAATGTGTTGCAGGCATGGAAAATAATGATATGGTAATCATGCAACTTCTCCTACATGAACAACAATCTTTTCAATGCCTAGAGTACTTGAAAGAAGATGAAGATGCATTTTGGGATGTGATGACTTGTGCAGCAGGTTATGCTTATTGGTATTTTTTGAATCATATATATAAGGAACCATGCATGACATCTTTTTTGACTGGAGAAAGATGGATGAATGAATTATTGAATGGTCATGAAAAACGATATTTTAATGCATTTAGAATGAATCAGAGCACATTTCGCCAATTATGTCTAGATTTAGAGAATAGATACGGTTTAAGGCCATCTAACAGGATGTCAGTTTTGGAGAAAGTTGGGTTGTTTGTATATGTCCGTAGCAAGGATGCTCCTAATAGAGATACTCAAGAACGCTTTCAACATTCTGGTGAAACTGTGAGTAGAATTTTTAAACAAGTTTTAGATGTTATGGATAGCTTTTCAAGAGACATACTTGTACCAAAGGATCCTGAGTTCAAGGACACTCCGACACATATTTCCACTGACGACAGATATATGCCACATTTTAAGGTAATAGTTCATTACTTACATAAATGATTTTTTATTTTATTGAAAATATGTATAATATACTTTTGCTTACAACTTTTTTGTATGGGTTTTTAGGGTTGTATTGGAGCTATTGATGGTACACATATTGCAATAACTGTACCAGAGGAGGATCAAATTCGTTATAGAGGAAGAAAAGGGATACCAACTACAAATGTCTTAGCAGCGTGTGACTTTGATTTGTTGTTCACATATGTTTTAACTGGTTGGGAGGGATTAACACATGATTCTCGTATTTTTCTTGATACGATCAATAATCCAGCTCTCAATTTTACAAAGCCGCCAACAGGTTTCACATCATTTTCATTTATATCCTATTTCACACCCATGTATATATATATATATATATATAT